TGGAGGGTTCGGCAGGTCTCCGCTACGATTGCCAGGTCGCAGGGAGGCAAATAGGCGAGGATCGCATCGATGAGTTCGGAAGGAAGCGCGAGTAGGCGGCAACTGTTGTCTGAAGGCAGGGAAGGCAAAGCTAGCACAGCAAAGACGGGTCAGTCGGATATATCAGAGATTAAACAAGGATCGTTGACATACTACCTGAGGCCGCAATGTTGAAGTCAGAAGGAAGGGGATAGTAGTCTTCCCTTGAGCTTCCAATCGTTTTCCGGTGATCTGTGGCATCGCTGCGAAGTCCTTCTTCAGATACGTAGGGTAAAATGTAGAGGTTTTCCTCAACTTCGGGGTCGATGCCACCGTAATTGCTACCGCTAGCGGTTGACATGGTGTCGTGAGTTGGCGCATCCGAATCCGCGGCGGAGGTTGAGGGCGAGGGAGGACTCGTAGCCATTTCGCAATTCGTATCCATGCCTCTTCAGAGAAAAGAATTGCAACGTTGAACAGCGTTTCGAGGGCTCCAGAGTGTAAAATGGGGGCGAACTATTCTTGTGGCTTGTTGGGCGATCCAATACTCTGTCACGAAGGTTTGGCGAGTGGCTGCAATGAGAGTATGCAGCGGCGGGGGTTATTGTTCGGGCTAGAAAGCAATGTTGCGGACGAGAACGCTTCGGGGTGATGTGATATTGGCGCTGCTTGCAGCATGTGTCAAAATGTGTCGATGTCTCAACGACTCCAGCGGTAAGTCTAAGGTATCACGGAGGTTCGGGTTGCCCAAGGGTGGTGCATATAGGAGTCGTCAGTGCTCGCAATGTTGGGGTCATGACTCCAGGTTTAGTCTCCACGTCTCCGACCAGCCGGGGTGAGGGTGTGTCGGGTGCGTGCGTGTATGCAACAATAGCACGAACTTTTTGGTTGCGGTCGCGGACGGGCCAGAAGTTCCTCTTTGCGACCCCCGGTTACGGCGCATAGCTAATCCACCCCAGGCTCAAGCCGGGGATGATGGAAAGCAGCGATGACAGCACGGTCGACAGCAGTAGCGGTAGTATGTAGCAGCGGCAACGACAGCCGAGGCGGGGCAGAGAGTTTGGCGTGGTGGGTGTAGGGATGGTTACTTGGTAGTGCCAATAGAGCTGGCTAGCGGTTTAGATGCTTGGAACGGCCAACCATGAGCAGTCGCGTGCCGGAGAGGATGGATAGATGGATCTAGATTCCGCAGGCGTATGCGACAACATGCGGCTGGATGTGCCGAGACAGATGATGGATGTCGAGGACTCGAGAGGACGTTGCGGTAAGGTTGGTCGGGACCAGGTTCAGGTTCCAGGTCAGGGTCGGTGGTGCAGACGGATATAGGACCGAAACAGACAAAAGGGCCTTGGTTCAAGCAAGGTATGCCGCCATCGCCGTCTCCGGGCCACAGGACTAATGCAGCGCCAACCGGTGACTGGAACCTGGACGGGGGGAAACTTGAGGGATGAGTGGAATGTTGTGCCCGGAAGAGGAAGGGGGTTCGTCCGTAGCCAACGACGTTGATGTGTGTAAGGTGCTGGTAAGGTGATTCTCCAGGTAGGATGCCTATCCATTAGTGCCGTTGTGGTCGACCGTGGAGGTGGAAGTCCAAGAATAGATGCGGATATTACTGTGCCTGCCACGCCGGTGGTGCATGTGGAAGCAATGCGTGTTGCTGCAGCATCTCGACCAGCTAGCTAGCGCAGGCAAGCTTGCTCTGCTCTTGCATCTCGTCTCATGAGGTGCTCGCAGCTCGAGTGAGGTAAGGTAGGGATATGTCGATGACCGTGTGAGGATTACTGCAGCAGTGCAGCTGTAGGTAGCCCAGCATGCTGTGCCGCAAAGGGGAGCCAAGACCCAGGCATGACCATCGAGTCGCGTCTTGATCCTTGTGCGTTGGAAAGGTGAAGTGCAGTGGGCTGTGGGCTGTGGTGCACCGTCAAGGGTCAGGCACCTCAGGTACCGAGAACCGGAACCGGAATGGAAGCGGATTGCGGGGACGAAGGAGCTGTTTGCTGACTAAGGCAAGGTACGTAGCTACCTACTCGGGATGAGGTCAGTGCCCGGCCTTAGGGTCTGTCGCTTATCGGGTGACGAGAGAGACAAGATAAGAGAACTCCCGTCACCTCCCGTCCAGTTCAGGCCTCCATCCATAAGGTACCGTAAGAGCTCGGATCAATAACGCCATCGCCTAGGTTTCTACCCAACCAGCCACCCGACTGACAATTCCAGCTTACCTACGATCGCAAAGCACCCGCCTTGATGTCGGGCCAAGATAAGCACCTTGACTTTGGGCCCGAAGCGAGGCTGGTCATGACATGAATCAGGGCCACCTAGGTCAGGAGTATCTGTCGTGCTTGGGTGTATCTGTGAACAGATTCCTCTCACTCAACTACCTGACCTTGATACCTGCGCCAACTAACTACTATTTACGGCTACACTCATCCCTTCGGCTGTCCGGCGCATTGCAGGAGATCGTCGCTGTTTGTTCCGACCATTCACGAGCCTAGACTTCAAATTGGCTTCAACCCACCTTTGCCTAGGTAAGTTAGGGGAAATTGATATGCCCAAAGACTGCACCGGATGATTACTAGGTATGGAGCAAAGAACCCCCCAGTTCTTGCGCGTATCTTTTGCGCTTGTTCAACGGCCAATGCATCACATTGGTCAAGCCAAGAACGTGCCATGCTCTCTCCAACTTGCTCTCACATTAACCATACATCTCGCCGCAAAAGGGCCTGAGGATTCTGACCTATAGCAAATGGCCTATCTGGTCTGGATTGAATCCACATGGCTTCAAAAAGTCCCAGCCAAGGCTTGTCGGACAGGAACCTTTGCGGCAAGCCAGCAATGTGCTTTTATTGGCTGTGTCGTAACTCTGGTTGAAGGCAGTGTCTATGGGAACAGAACTCGGGTACGGAGCATTCCAGGCTTCATTCAATTGCACGTCTTCCAAATGATCTCTTTCCCTCTTTCTTTGTGTTTCTACCTAAGGATGGTGCCTATCTTATAGATATATGTAATTAGAAGACATAGTCTCCAAAACAGGTCTACTAGTTCTCCTACCCAATTAGGTAGGTAGGTGGTTCCTCGTCCCCTCCTTCCTCTTCTTCCATTTCTCGCTCATTGCAGGGACAGGAATCTCACTATGACACCCCCGCCGCCACCGCCATCAACCTGAGGACTCGGGAGGCATTAACCCTTGATTTACCACCAACAACAACCACAGCTGCCTGTTACCACGAGTTCGACAGACTTTCGGTTCCATCGCTGGATCTCGCTTCGGCATACCGCACTTTTTAACCAATACGGAGGTTACAATTTTCGCAAAACAAGATTCAACTTAATTTCAACGAACCACAACATACGACCACGGCAGAATAGATGGGTATCCACATCAACCTATACGTCTATACCATATCCCCAGAACGTTGTTGATACTACCTTTTCACCGTGCTATACGGAAATATCCAGACCTTGCGCCGTTCATACTTGCTCAATCCACTGCCGGAGCTTCCCCTAGTTCCCACCTCACCTAGTGATCCGTCCGACGTCTCCTTCCTACTTGGTAATAGCTTCCGCCCGCCAGTGGGAAGGTTGTCTTCACCCTCACCCAATATCCTACAATTCTACGGACACTCGACTCAGATCTCGCTGCTCACCAAGCGGAACACCCAACTACGGCCATTCAACCTTTATTCCCCCCTCTCCGCAGGCGGACCAGCCGAGACCGGGCAGATCATAACGGAGCACGCCAGCAGACCAAGGAACCGCCGGGATATTGGAAACCCGCTCCCTCGCTCGCGCGCGCGCCCCTTGCTCAGGCTTGCTGCCTTGCAGGACAGCCGACAGTCACCATGGCGTCCCTGATCCCACTCATCAACGACCTGATACCCATGATCGTTCCCTCGTCGGTATCCGTCACCAAAGCGACCACCCTCCGCCCTCCCAATGCAACTCTGAATCCCGCTTCTGCCAACGAGGCCGATGCCGTTGTCAGCAAAAGCGATAAGCTCTGCGCCTCCGGTAAGTCCAACTTGGTCTAGGATGCCGTCTCCCCTGCCACTACGAGTACCTCTATTCCTCTCTCTTTCTCTGTATTCGTATGGGATCTGCTCTGGCATCACGCAGCGCCTTTCCCGCCGCTTTTCCTAGCTGCCGCGACCTGCCTGGGACCGCCAACATACCCGCCATAAGGTAGCGTCGCAGCCGAGAACTGTGTTGCTGGTCATAGAGTAACAAGGCTCAAGTCGTGCTTGTCATGATTCCATTAACCCTGTCCCATCGCATGGTCTTGTGTCTTGTTCACTGCCACGTCTTCTTCAACTAACTCGAGTAGTCATTACTTTGAACCCACATGCGACATCGGCTATCCGCCATCACGGAGAGCAAGGTTAGGATTAATCTTTTCCCCCCTTCCCAACCCACCATCTCTTTCTTACGCGTTTGCGACTTATTGTCGCTCTCTTGGCGGTGTATCTCTAATGCTTGCCAAGATACCATTCTCTACATGGCTTCCGGGATCGGCATCTTGCTAGTTAGTCCTGGTGCAGGACAAGATGTAAAGCGGCACGAGCTGTCCTCGGGTGATTTTGCATTCATTCCGTCCTGGACAGAGCACCAACTACTCAACGAGTCAGATCAAGATACCGTGTGGGTCATTACTCGCAGCGGTTCCCAGCCGGTCACGGTAGGCTTGACGGATTGGGGAGGTGACCGGGCGAAGTAACCCATATGCCATCGCTCGGTCGTGGAGACGGACTCCAACTCTAGGCGGCTGGCCGCATGCTCGATGTGTGGCAGCAGCAGTAGCAGCAGCAGCAGTAGCAGCAGCAGCAGTAGCAGCAGCAGCAGTAGCAGCAGCAGCAGTAGCAGCAGCAGCAGCAGCAGCAGAAGCATCGCATCGGGCACTACTCGAAAAGATTAACTTCGCAGGACACGTGTGAAGTGTGGCTTTCCCGGTGGGATTCCGCCAATGTCATGATATCTATCGAGTATCTCTATCTTGTTTCGTCATCGCCCCATATGGCACCCACGATTCGCGCTATAGCCCTGGGGGAATCAAAGACCTGGGCGTGGTCCTTGTCCGGAAACCAAAGGATGTCGATGCCTGACCCAGCGGAACGGTGACTCTCGTAGCCCATGCCCGATATGGGTGCAGCCTTTGGTCCGGCAACGTCGCGCCGGCCATGCTCGCCTTGCAACCATGCGGGGTGTTCCGTCTGCTGGCCCTGACCCCCCTCGGCCAAATACCTGGCGACGGCGTGGCTGTCGACAATGAGGTCCAGCCCGGACAGGCATACGGTGACCTGCCTCGCTTCCTGCCGCTCGACGCCTACCGATTCCGATCCTGCTGTGCGACCAACCAGTTCGTCAGCCCAGATGGCGTTCTCCCTCCAAAAGAAGTATCTGCCGAGGCAGTGGGCGACTCCGGGGTCCATGCTCGCAAAATACCACAGCTGCCACTCGTTTGCGGTCGACGGCGCACGTCGTGTGAAGTTGTAAGCGACGTCGGGCAGGTGCAGGAGGATGCTCACGGGGTCAATGAGCACGGCCCGCGGGATCCTAGCCTGCAGGTCTGGGCATCGCATGGCATGGGTTGACAAGATGGAACCGTACGAATGGGAGACGAGGGCAAACTTGTCCCAGGCGTGATGGTTTACTATCTGCTTGAACTGTCGAAGGAAGACCTCCTTGCCCAGCGGTGGGTCAGTTAGTCGGAAGGAGACGGGCAGGATTTCGATGGCGATGACACCTGTCCGGCCGCGGCCCCTAATTCTCATGGTGGTGATCTCGGCGAGAAAGCGGACGTAGGGCCACAACCCGATGCCGATGCCGTGGAGGAAGACAACCGGCAGACCTTCTGCGCGATGGGGGCGGTGCCAGTAGCTCAAATTACCGGCCGAGGACCGCCTGCTGGCAAAGACCTGTTGGAGACGAGGTGGGAAAATGGCCTTGTCCTTTGGCTGCGCGTAGTACTGGAACCCGTAGAACCACAAGGAGAGGTGTGTGACGTGGTCCAAAAAGGCCATGATGGCGTACCACCAGACGGTGCGGTACTTTGTATCTACGGAATCGATGGTCAGGCGCAGACACTTGGCCGGCCCGCGACCGGGCTTGAAGGGCCTGCCGAGCAGACGTTCACTGCGGGTTATATACTGGTCCACCTCCACGTCGTAGTTCTCCCCGTCCCTTGCGCTGGCCCGCCCGACGTCCTTTTCGCCCATGTCAAAAAAGGCCCAGAGGAGAAAGTCGCGGACGTTGTCGCGATGGATGTCGGTCATGTCGGCACCCAGAAACCACATGCGGACGTAGCGCTCAAAGTCTGGGATGGTGGCCATGCACCGCTCAAAGAGGGCCAGGCGGTCGGCGGGCGAGGAAGGGCTCGGGTGCGAGGCGGGTTCCCTGAGGCGCTTCGTGTAGGGGAGCCAGATGAAGAGGGCGTAGATGAGTTCCGTGGCTGCCATGCATGTTGTGATGGCGGCGGTTGTGAGCCATTTCGACGAGGAGGAGGAGGAGGCTGCGTAGTTTGCGCCGAGGAGGCTTGCGAGGAGGAGGGCTGCGTAAGGGAGGATTGGGTAGCGGAGCGGTACTATGCAGGCGCGTATGAATATGAACTCGTGAAGCGTGCGGCCGAGCATCCTGGAGTGGTGTGGGTGTTGTGAGGTTTATTGTCGGCTGGTGATGATGGTGATGATTGGCATGAATGAGAGGCTGGCGATTGCTCGTCGCCGTTAGTGTAAAGATGATGTCGTACCGTTTTCTTATCTATCAAAAGACAAACGAATAGAGGATCAGAAAGTGATGGCCATGTACAGATGCAAACAGAGCATGTCCTTCCTCGGTCCCCCGGGCTTGAAGCGAAGAATACTACAAGTACTGGCAACCCTTCTTCGTGTGATGTTCAGATTTCGTTGGGGATCGTCCGAATCACGCGGTACAAAAAACGTGTACTAAGATAATGTAGACGACCCGGCGAGCTAAGGCAGGGGATGGAGGGATGGAGCAGCGGTGGATTGGATGACAAACGAATCGCAAACCTGTCGTGCCCCTGTTCTTTTCTCCAAGTTTGCCTCCAAGACGCTTGTGTTTTTTCATCCGAATTATCTGTAGCTAAGGAAATATTTACATCTGAAAGTCGCCCCATTATCCGTGTGCTATAAGCTTACCTACTACTGTGTCACTGTGTGTAAGTATCTCATAGACACCGGACAGGACTTTGGATTGGGGGAATTGATGGTAACCCCTGGGGAAATCATAGCGCTGATTGGTCCATTGGATACCAAGCTTCAATCAAAGAACGCTCCAATGCCGGTGAAACGACCCATCTTCTCAACGTGACTGTGACATTCATAAGAATTGACAGGCACAGACAAGACTTGCGCGGATTGTCGCGCGTCAAGTCGCCTTGCCGAGGTTTCTTCTGCCCATCCGTCACCGTTGATTGACGTGCATGGCAAAGAGCCTCATCTTCACATGCTTCAAGGTAGTGTGGTAATGTCATACCAATCGTTTCTTTTTGCAAGTTGTGTTACTGCACACATGCAAACTATTCGTTTCTGCTATGCAGGTCATGAAAATCATTACCTAGTCAAAATAGAATCTGTCCGATGTTCCGGCCCTCAACAACAATTTCTCCCCGAATGCCCTTTGCGCGCTTCACCCCAATGGACTCCACGACTGGCCCTGATACCGGTGGTCTTCTTCAAGTCAGCGTCGGCGCCGACCATGTAGCATAGTCCTTCACGTTGACATTCACAGTGCTGCGCTCGAGAATGGACGGCTTGGTCGCGGAGTTGAGCAGGAAGTAGTTGATATACTGCGTCAACTCGGCATTCTGCCCGCTCGGGAACGAGCAGTGGTTATGCCCGCCGACCAAAGAGAACCCCATATTCTCCGGCACCCCGAGGGCCTGGTAAATGAGCCTCCCGGCCTTCATGCAGCCTGTCGTCGACACGGGGCCCAGCCAGTCGATATCGTTCTCCGCCACGTACAGCCCGCGCGGCGCGACGAGTCCGGCCAGCAGGTGATGGTCCTCGGGCACCTGCGACGACCTCGTCGCCCACGTATTGAAGAGGGGCGAGAACCAGACGTTCTCCCCGACGATCTGGCTCGACGTCTGTATGTTTTTCCCCTTGGACTTTTCGCTGTCCGAGATGCGCCAGCACGCCGCGCCGCCCGAGCCCGACTCCTGCGGGATCGTGAGGGCGATGCGCTTCTCCAGCGCGCCGACGACGAAGGCGCCTTTACCATTGCGCGAGCAGCCCGTCACGCCTATCCTCTTTGGGTCGATGCCCGTTTGGGAGGAACCGAGCTGCTCGAGGCCGTCGATGAGACGGCCTACGCCCCATGCCCACGCCGTTAAGGCGCCCGCGCTGTGCTGCTGCCCGAAGAGGGTGTAGAAGAGGCCTTGGCCTCTGCTGCTTTGGCCGTTTTGCGCGGCGAAGGCGTCGTTGCCAAAGGTGATTTGCGCGACGGTGCCGGGGATGGGGATGCTTGCGCCGCCGACGCCGATGATGGCGGGGAAGGGACCCGTGCCGGAGGGCTTCGTGACGGAGGCGGTCATGCTGATGCTCTTTGTGCCGACGGTGACTTTGACGGTCAAGGTGTTGCCCGAGAGGGAGGCCTCGACCTTGTCCGGGGGCGGGGGGAAGTCTCCGAGCTCGTACTGCTCAAAGGCGTTTTGGATTTCGGTGGCGCGGCAGGCCCAGTCGGCTTTTGTTGTGACTTTGGAGCCGTCGGCAAAGGTAAAAGGGTCTGGGAGCTTTGCGTCGTTGACGGCTGGGATGTTTGTCTTTGCTTTGCCGCAGTCGGCCTGCCGGGCGGAGAGTGTGTCGGCGGGCATGGCCAGGACCGTGCCGGCGAGGAGGAAAAGCGAGGCGCGCAGGGCCATGATGGAATATGGAGAAAGAGATGATCTTGGGTTCAGGGACAGGATCGTGGTGCTGAGGATGAGACGAGCTTCAACGAGAGTGATATGGCTTGTTTCTTGAGATGATGTCTTCTTATGCTCATCATGATTCGGATCAACGGATGTCTGTTAGTACATAATGAGGACCCTATATGGCTTTCATTTAGTGTACATCATTTGGATAATGACGGGTGTTTCCAAAGAGCCTCAAATTAGCCGGCAATGCGAGCCCACGGGACTCCTGGAATCAAACCCAAGCGAGCCATGCGGCGCTTCGTTAAGCTTACTTACCTGCCGTCAACTTCCTCGCCGGCTACTTTCTAGCAGCTCTGTTTAATATGCCCAAGACAGCCGAAGAGATGGCCCAGATCGGAACGTGAGCATACTTTTAGCCCAATTCGTTCAGTGCGACCCATAAGAGGCCAGTGAGGACTAGGCCAAGCAATGATCTGCACCGGCTGAATAGGAATAGTACGGGCCACAAGCGGAACGAGTCCAGCTTTTCAAATTGATGCTACCCACCTCGATGAGAGAGTTTGTGGGGTGTTGCAATGGCGGGCTAGATTCCGAAGTAGGAAGAAGTCCAAGAAGAGAAGTCATCGCGAAGTTGGAAAATAGAGCGGCGGCAGTGGCCGAGACGGATTGCACCGGGCCACCGGGGATGCGGAGTCGCGGACCCGACAGGCGGCCGGCCCTGGTGGGGCACTCTTTTTCTTCCCACCAACAGCCGCCGCCTGATTGGCTAAACGTTTTCCAGAGCCCATCTGCCTCCGTCGCCCGGCTGATTCTCGATCTCTTACGTCTTTCAACCTCTCTCTCAATTCTCAGCCCACCACCCTCTTTGGCTCTCCGCGCAATCCGACGCTCCCAATCTCGGTCCACGAGCCCGCACCAATCCCTGGCCAAACCACGTGTAGCGGAGCAATTCCTCCTCCGGTCTGCGAATCGCACGCCACTTGACCACGCCTCGTCCCTCCTCCGAATGGTCCGCGTTTGACAGAGAGCAGTCCCGCGAAACATCCCGCTGCCGCCGACCGGCTTTTTCTTCGCCCAGGCCGACATGAGCGCAGAGCAGAGCAAGAACCATGCGGCCAGCTCCCACTTCGCTCTTGCGCCCTCACCGACTCGATAATGTCTGTCGCCAATGCGTTCGGAAAGCCTTTGGCGCTACCGTCCCGCGGGGCAACAGTAGTAGCATCAGCTCTCTGCCATTGATCACGAGCCGGTCCGCCTCGACGACGGCCGCAAAGGCAGCACCCGCAGTGCGTCTCAGCGCGAGCTACTTCGTCTCCAACAGCGTCCTCGACCGCTCCAATGCCCGGCCCAGACCCCTCGGCAGCCGGAGCTCCTCGGCTTCCGTAGCGCCATCGTCTTCGTCTTCCTCCTCCTCCACCGCGCGCTCCGAGTCGACGACACCAATCGACGTGAACCAAGACCTACCGCATCGTCGCCGCCAAGCTGCAAGACGCAAAGCCGCCGCCGAAGCCGCTGCCGCAGCCGCCTCCTCCTCGCCCGATGTTCTCCCTTCTCAGGATGCCTCCTCCGCCCTCACCAGCGTCGCCGCCCAACAACCCGCGCACTCGGCCCGCCGTATCTTCTCCACGCTCCTCTCCCTCTCGAAGCCCCGGCTCTCCGCCCTCGTCGTCCTGACCGCGATGGCGCCCTACGCCCTATACCCCGTCACCGACTTCCTCTCCCCGGCCATCACCGAGTCGCCCTCCCTGAGCCCGCTGACGCTCCTCTTCCTAACCACCGGCACCGCCCTCTGTTCCGCCTCGGCAAACTCTCTCAACATGCTCTACGAGCCCAAGACGGACGCAAAGATGTCGCGCACGCGGAATCGGCCCCTCGTCAGGAACCTCATCTCCACGCGCGCCGCCGTCCTCTTCGCCGTCACCACCGCCATCACTGGCGTGGGCGCCCTCTACTTTGGCGTCAACCCGACCGTCGCCTTCCTCGGCGGCGCCAACATTGTCATCTACGCGGGCATGTACACGCCCATGAAGGCCTTCAGCGCCGCAAACACCTGGCTCGGCGCCGTCGTCGGCGGCATCCCCCCGCTCATGGGCTGGGCCGCCGCCGCTGGCGAGACGGCTTCGGGCGACGGGTCCTGGCGGGAACTCTTGTTTGCCAGCGACGGCAGCTCCATCGGCGGCTGGCTCATGGCGAGCTTGCTCTTCGCGTGGCAGTTCCCGCACTTTATGGCGCTCTCGTGGGGTATCCGGGAGGAATACAAAGCCGCCGGGTTGCGGATGCTGGCGTGGACGAACCCGGCGCGCAACGCGCGCGTCGCGCTGCGGTACAGCATCGCCTTCATCCCCATCTGCGTCGGGCTCTGCGCGGCGGGCGTGACGGAGTGGAGTTTTGCCGTGACGAGCTTGCCCGTCAACGCGTGGCTTACGCGCGAGGCGGTGCGGTTCTGGAAGTTTGAGGGACACAAGGGGTCTGCGAGGGGTCTGTTTTGGGCGAGCGTGTGGCATTTGCCCGTCGTCATGGTGTTGGCGCTGCTGCAGAAGAAGGGCATGTGGAGCCGGGTGTGGAATAGCGTTGTTGGCGTAGACGATGATGACGAGTGGGAGGACGACGATGAGCTGGATGAGATGCCGGTTACGTTGCCTCCGCCGCGGGGATAGAGTGATGCCAGCGGCGCGTTGTCGTAGTAGAAAACGCGGGATATTGTATGATAGTGTTGCTCGTTTTCCTCGTGGGTGGGAGGGGAACCATCAATACCCATAGTGGTGCTCCGGTCTTAGA